CGAGCCTAGGATATACACCCCTTGGTGCTGCGGACGCACTGTCCGACGTTGCACCGAGAACGGGAGACGAAGTTGGGCTCTGCCCGTGCTCGCCGTCAGAATCAGCGAGACTTGAAGATTTCGGTGTCATTGACACAGGGCTCATTGAGGATGGAAGTAGTTTCGATAAGTTGCAGTGTCTAGCGGACACGCGAGCCTCATTGAGGCAATAATTGATTGGAACTGTGAATGCTCTCAATCTTAACGGGGGAGGGTGTAACGGGGTTACACAAACCCTGATAACAGATGTGTGTGTCACACGAGATGTGCATGGTGTGACCACACCCAAACAAGAATACGGTTCGGGGCTAGGTAGCCAGTAAATATGCATGTGTTTAGATTTTACTAAATATAATTTGTATATTGACGAAAATCCAAACATTTAGATAAAAAATAATTAAAAATCAGTTCAAAATTTAAACCGAAGGGTCAATTAGCCTTGGGAAGGCAATAATTACTCTTAGAGTAAGCGGATTGCGATCCGCTAACATATATTTGGTTCTTGTAAAGAACGAAAGGTTGGTGACCTAAAGTACGCTTCCTCAAGTGCTAAGCTACGGCAGCCCCGCTGCACTTTTCGTCGAGTTATAATATTAGTATTAAGTTGAGTGGGATTCTGACAATGAAGAATTCGTTTGCATTTGTTGTCTCTGCAGGAATTAGCCCCAAATCATGTGGTACACACCAAATCTGTGTGGTCCCTTTTGGATCACCCCTATGTGGAATATAAATGTTTGAATACTGTTATGCCACAACGTTGATAAATTTTTAAACTCATGAGCGACTACGAAACTCCAGATTGGCACGACGCAAAACAGTCACAGTATGTATGTATATTGAAATTGTTAAATGTTATCGTAAACACAATTTGTTGAAACGTAAATCATAAGGTGCACTATCTTAATAGAACCGTTTCTGTCATTAAGATAACATCAAAATACTCCAGCCCTAGCTAAAAAATATTTCGCTTTTACCTCACATCTTATCAACTAAATTTCGGAAATTCTTGTACATTCAGTTGACACAGGAGTATTTGTCCTATCAAATTAAAAACGTTGAGGGTCACACTGTGTGTGTAGTACACACGGGTACTCCACATGGTAACGATGATCAGCACGGGGGGGGTACTGACGATTTGAAAGGATTGAGTCATGGAGAGTTTTATGCAGCTTTCTTTTACAAAGCATATTCGACCCGATTCTCTCTCTTGTATCACAGTGAAGTTTTAATGACGGTCACATTTCACTAACAAGCCTTCAACTTTTTTTACTAATGGACCCTGTCTTTGTTGCAGAAAAATTCAAGGCTTTTTAATTCATAAACCTTGCCAGTACTATACTATTTATCAACACATTGATTGATTTTATAGTCAAGTACTAAAATAATTTCTCCAAATTCGCTTTAATGACATCAAGTGTAACTGATGGATTTTCTAGTCATGCATAGATAGATGACCATCTGCTGACTTGAATCCACCGGATCCACTGGAGCTATCATATTCTTTTTGCTAGCTGTCGTATCTTCCTGTGCGTTGGCTTGATAGTCATTTGCACATTTTCTCTCTTCCCTCTTCGTTGTCAGTCATGAGTACCACTCGCCAAGGCACAATTTCTTCTCCCTATCTGACATCATCTGTTCCTGCTTCTACCATCACCGAGGTGCCAGAAGAGCAAGTACATGATCCTGAGGAGCTGTGCCGCTATCCGAGCAAGAAGTGCTGGAATTTGCGTGTACTGAAACGAAATGGTGAGCGTCACAATCTCTGCGAATTCCACCGCCAAAAGGCCAATAAAAATCAACGTCGCCTTGAATTTAAACGTAAGGCCCGTACGCAAATATTTGTTGATGCGGAGAATCCTATTAAGCGATTTCGTTCGCCAAAATTGCAAGAAGGGTGCTCTGTTCGCACTTCTCTCAGCGTTGAATCGGCCATAAGGGAAGTAGCCCGTGTCAAGGGCGAGGAGATAGGCAGGGCCAATTCGGCCGTGTCTTCAGACCTCACTAATAATTTTCTTCAGGATTTGGTTCTACTAAATGTCGTGCATGATCGAATTGAAGTTCCGAGCAAAGAATTGCAGCCAGATTCTTTTTCGATGAGACCAGTCGGGTCGACAAAAGCACAAGAGGATCAGCAGCTGCGTCTACTCGACGCAGTGAACGAGGCGGTGCTCAACCGCATTCTGGAAGACGAACCGGCAGAAAGCGCTGCGATGCTTAAAAGTTTGCGTTGCACTTTGCAAGAGGAAGATATAATGTCATTGCCAAAGGGCCTCATGTCTCCAGTGGACGTTGGCGAGGGCTGGAACACCTTATACTCCAAAGACTACTGGCTTGCAACTTCGTTAGCTGATCAGTTGGCGCTAAGTTGCGATGCTCAATTAGTCATGGATGAAAACGTGCTCGTTGCCGACGTGTGAGCGGTAGTTTTATATTTATGTAGTTGACTAATATCACCACGCGCAAGATAATCCAGGAAGGTCTGGTGGCCGCCGAAATTTCTGCGCCAGTATCTTAATAATCCGACATGTGCAGCAACGACAAACAATGTTCCTTTCAAATTATTTGCTAATTTACTTGCAGTGGCCACCGATTTACTGCGATCTTATAGGCATAGCAAAGTGTCGAGTGTATGATACGCAATACGTCTTTACTACTTTATGCTCAAACTAGCATAAGCGGTATGAAAACAACAGACCTGCAAAAGAGGGCTAACGTCCATTAAGACAATCCAAAATTGTTATTGTAAAGAAAACTATGGTGCTTTTAACAGCATATTTTTACCAGATACGAGGCTCTGGTGCGTAAGGAAAAGCCGGTGGAGAGCTTGTACTTATGCTTAGTTCAATACAGTCGCTATGTTTCACAAAGTATTATGACAAGTGATCTCTATACTATACCAGAAGTCCTGGCAAGATATTGAAGTCATAAAAGATGAGATTTATGCATTTCTGCCTCGACTTACTTCAGTGAGTAGCTCCTGTGGATCGGGTGAGTCTGCGCTAAAGCGAGTGAAACTGCTTTTACTGCGACAATGCAGCGACATATAGACGCGCATGCAGCTATCTTTGAAAAGAAGAATACAGTTTAATCAAGGTATAACTAAGAACAGTGTTTCACTGATGTTACGTGTACGATTAATGGCCCATTATTCTTGTTCTAATCGAATGCATTCAACATCACACACTATGATGCTGTAACTATTGCTCATACATCGGTTTTAGTCTTCTTACTAGGCGGTCGTCGAGATTTTTTAGAAGATTTGGGAGTCGCTATTGGTTCCCGACTTCCTTCCGGCACTTTCTCCAGAACGATCTTCTCCAAATCGCGAAAAGTTTTGTTGTCGATGTTATCAATAACAATATCCAGCTCGTCTGGCGAACTCTTGTCTAAGGCCTTAGGACACTGCTCCTCCAGTAGTTTCACGATAACGCCAAGGTCCTTAGGATTAATCTTGTAGATGTTTTGACTAAAACAAATCTTATCCTCGAGGCTTGGCGCTCTATTCCCAGATACACAACAAATCAGATATCGCAGCGATCAATCTCAAATTTCACTTAAACATTTTACGGGATGCTCTTGTCAGCCTTAGGTACCGGACCTACATCCAGCTTCATGGCTTTGACTCGGTCCTCAAATTTCTTAGCAAGCTCATCAGCCAGCAGATACAGGTCTGAACCATCCTGGTTGTAAAGCTTGCAGTTACTCCAAACCAGTCGCATATCGCGAGCAAACTCGGCTGGCTTCTTGTACTCATTCTTCGCAAGTTTGCTGCGGATAGTACCCAGATCCATCGGCTCCTTGACCACCTGCAGATAGTCGTACAGCCCCCATTCCTCCCAATTGACGCGCTCACGAAAGGGCTCTGCAGTGAATTACAAGCAGTTTCCAATCATCACGTCGTTTATATCATATATTGAACAAACATTTCGCGCACCACAGCTGTCGAATTTGAAAAAATGCTCCACTACATCAGTGCATTTTTTTCTGTTCTCCGGATCCATTATCCAACGGGCGTAGGGCCTTCATTGACACAAAAATGACGTGCTAGATGAGATACTAGAGATCTTTGGCTTCAGCAAGTGATAGAACGAAGTGGGTAAGTACAAGTATGGCTGACTCGTGCTCGAACACCTGTTGAGGTGCGAATACTGCGCAATACCGAAACTTTGTGTGGCTTACATTGTTTAGCAACATGACTATTTTGAGACGAACTATTTTCGAGACACTTTACTGACAATGCAACATCTTAAGCGTAGTAAATAGCGACTGGTATGAAATGAATTGCTCCAGGATATCAGAGAATGTCAGTCTGCGTGAGCATCCAATTTACGAAACTCCAGGAGTACAAACTAC